ACTCACTTTAAAGCCCCACTCCTCTTCACCATCCCTTCTGCAGGTGGCCAGATGCACCTGCTCCTGCCAGGTAAGGGCACAAGTCCCAAAGGGTTGTGCTGGTTCCATTGGGGGCAGTTGGGCTCTGCGGAGCCATAAGTGCAGCTTCTCATTGGGAAAAAAATAGTAATTTGGGGAAAATCTATTTTATGAGGTCAGGGAGAGGTGAAATGCCCTGAGCTCTGCATCATGCTCTCAGTGTGGGTGAGATGTTGGAGGTGAACTGGGGAATGTGAAGATGAAGATGAACTGGTGGATGTGAGGATGGAGGTGAAGTGAGGACAGTGAGGATGGAGATGAACTCATGGATGTGAGGATAGAGTTGAACTGGTGGATGTGAGGATGGAGATGAACTGGTGGATGTGAGGATGGAGGGGAGCTGGTGGCTTCTCTCTAGCTGAGACATTTTCTGCTCCGTCATCCTGAGTTTTCTGCTGTTTTGCCAGACTGTTCTGGGGAAGGCGGCTGTGCTGCGCCGCGCGTTCTCCCAATGCCATCTAGTGTCAGCTCCGGCGGCCCCGGACAGTTACTTTAAGGCATCAGCGCTGATTTATTGCAGAAGGATATTTGAGGGCCAACAGGCTGCCCAGGCTGGTTATTAACAGCAGCACGGGTAACTAACGGGTGGGTGCGCAGGCTGGGCTGGATTATTTTTATTATGGTTCCCGTTTCGCACTAAAAACCCGCCCTGGCAGGATGAAGTCTGAGGTGATTAAAATCTTTCAGCATTCAGCCACTCGTCTTGTAGCTCCGCCATCACCTGAGGCTTAATCACTCAGAAAAGTGCTGTCACGTCCTATTGTCGCCGTATTGGGAGCGCGACCTCTTTCCCGTTTAGCTGCCATCTGAAAAGAATGCAACTTGTCAGGAGACAGGCATGACTCAGGAGACCGGTGATGGGATATAAAGACTTTGACCTGCTGGCTGCCCATTTGGAGGCTGCCACGGTCAGTGGCAAGGGCGGCGATGTCCTTTGCAGGGTGATTATTTGGCCAAACAACCCAAAACAGGCAGTGCTGGGTCCATTCGTTACAGCAGGCTAAGCGCTGGGTTGGACTCTGCTCCTGCTGTGAAGGCATCGACTTCCCCAAGCCCTCCCCGCCCGGGGTTTGGGGTTGTGTGACTGCCCACGGTCCCCTCCTGCTTAGGAATTTGTCCTCCTCATCTTTCCCTTGCCACCGTTGTAGGGGCATGGTCTGCAAAAGCTGAGAACACTCATTTCTGCCTTTTTAGGGGCAAACAGCCACAGCAGCATCTCCAGTGTCCCATTCATCGGCCTCCCAGTGCAGAGGAGGGTTTCACAGGACAGATGTGCCCTGTCCCCTGCTCGCCCTGTCCCCTGCTCACCCTGTTCTCTGCTCTGCTCACCACCATCAGCTGCCATGATTTAGGTCCCTGCTAACCTCATCCTCAGCCACTGCTGACCATGTCAATTTATCTCCTCGGCTGCAAACCACCTCATCGAGGCAGTTTGAGTCAGTGATTAATTAAGGTCTCCCTAGAAATGAGGTTTCTCCCTGCAGCCTCACGTATAAATACAGGATTAATGGGCGCTGGCCGTGTTAGATGGCCACGACCAGACAGAGCCGGGGGGGGGGGGGG